AAAAAAAAAAAAAAAAAGGAATGTGCAATTCGCTGTAGTTAATAGCATTACTTACATGTTCTATAACTCTACTAAATTTCATTTGCTTTTTCTATTCGCTAATGAGAGAAGTGTGTTAAAATTTCCAAATATGCCTATTTCGCCTTTTAGTTCTATCAGTTTCCCTTTATATTCTCTGGGGCTGTGTTTCTAGATACATATGAATTTGTGATGTGCTGTAAGTGCCTTTAAAGTGTTACTGGGCAGCGTGAAGTCTTCCAATGCTGTTTTCTAAGAGTGCCTTGGCTATTGTTATTGTTTTAATCCTTTATCATTATGGACAATCTCTCTCTCTCTAGTAATATTTCTTTCTGAGAAATGATGCTTTGAAATTAGTATAGCTCTGCCAGCAGTCCTTTGGTTAGTGCTCGCATAGTACATCTTTTCCAACTCTTTTACTTTCAGTCTTTCCATTTAAAGTGGGTCTCTTGTACAAAATCATGGTTGGGTCTGTTGTTTTTAATCTGAAAATCTTTGTCTTTTAACTGGAATATTCAGCCTATTTACCTATAATGTGATTTGTACATATTTGGGTTTACATCTATTACTATAACCTTAGCTCTTTGTTCCTTGTCTCTCCTTTCCTGCCTTATTTTGGATGAATCAAGTATTAATATTCCATTTCTCTTCTATTAGCCTCTTATTTTCCATTCTTTTATTACTTTGTTAAACAATATATGATTTTAAATATTACAGTAGCCACATTGAAAAAGTTAAAAATATATATTAATGTGTCTTATTTAATAAAATATATTAAAAATATGATCATTTCAGCCGGGTGCGGTGGCTCACGCCTGTAATCCCAGCACTTTGGGAGGCAGATCACGAGGTCAGGAGATTGAGCCATCCTGGCTAACACAGTGAAACCTCGTCTCTACTAAAAATACAGAAAAAATTAGCCAGATGTGGTGGCGGGCACCTGTAGTCCCAGCTACTTGGGAGGCTGAGGCAGGAGAATGGCATGAACCTGTGAGGCGTAGCTTGCAGTGAGCCGAGATTGCACCACTGCACTCCAGCCTGGGCGACAGAGCGAGACTCCATCTCAAAAAAAAAAAAAAAAAAAAAAAAAAAAGATCATTTCAACATGTAATCAGTATTGTTTAAATGAGGTATTGTACATTCTTTTTTTCTATAC